CCTCTGCTTTACAGTCTGTCTATTCAGCAGTTTGCAGTCTTGGTCCGTTCAGAGAATCTCGCCAGTTCACCTATGCTGTCGCCATCTTGCCCCGTCTCCCACGACCTGAAGTACTTTGAATGTGTTTGCTAGGCGCGTCAGGCGCCCCCGAGCCCCGGGAGCACCGACATCCGTGCACACCTGGCTTGGTCGCGAGTACCCGGGAGGCGCTGTGCCCGGCCCTGCCCGAGCGCGGGAGCCGCCGCCACCGCCACAGCTCAGGTGTAGGGTTAGGGGCGGGAGGGGGGGCTCCGCCCTGCGTGGGCCACGGGCACCCACCGGCGAGGGTGGGGCATGGCATTTTTTTAAAAGAATTTTTTAAAGGTACTAAAACATTTCCTCTATTATTATTATTTCTTTCCAAATATTGATTTAATATGGTTTGAATGGTAATCAGTGCCTCCCTGGGACTATAATTCAAGTTTGAATCACCAAAAGCCAACTGAGTGCAAGACACCACTTGACTATGCAATTAATCCTAGCTCCTTGATTTCCTTTTACTCACATGGGTTTATACTGTCTGTGTTAAAATGAGACCACAGATGTGTATTTTTGCAAAGTGTCTACCATCATGAAAATGAATCAGCTGTGCACAAAATCTTATTCTTTACTAGGGACCCACTGTGTGTCAGACTTGCGTATTATTATTTTTAATTCTCATAACAACCCTGCAAGTTAAAATCCATATCCCTATGTTACCTCTGAGTAAACTGAAGTCAGAAGAGTGATACAACATACCCTTGTGACCTTCCAAGTCACTACCAAACCCAGCTCCAGTCCATCCATCCCCAGTGTGCCTGGCTCCCAACACTGGCACAGCCTCATGGCACCAATGGACCAGGTGGTGGCATTTCTCATTTCTTCTTCAGTACCAGTTTCCCCACCTATGTCAAAATACCTGAGAAACAAAACAACAAAAAACAAAGCAACAACTAGCTGGGTATATCTGGGACTGAAACTTAACAGTGAATGTTGCTTTATAATTTGATTAAATCTCTGTAATCGAAACATATTTATTCAGTGCTGCGTCCTTGAAACATGCAGTAATTATTACACTCAGTTCAGGCTATTAAAAAATTCGACATATTCTTAAAGCAAAAAACATGATTGAACATTAAGGATGCAGGAAAGCAATGATCTCAAAATTATGTTTCCTTCATATTTTTTCCATGCCATAACATAATGGCTCATATTTATGTAGTAGAAAGGATATGGGGGATTTAAAAATGCCCTGCAAACATTTAATTCTATGAATTGTATTAACCTTAAAGTTAATTTGGCTAATTTACCTGGTATGATGCTTTTTATCCTTTAATTGAAGTGAAATTTCATAACATAAATAATGTACATATGCTATCCTGGCACTTTTAATTTACCTAAAGGCTTTTTGACTGAATTTATCACTCACTTGCTTAGTCACTCACTTGGAAGGAGGGAAGGAAGGAAGGAAAAAGCAAGCTAGGAAGGAAGGAAGGAAAGAAGAAAAGAAGGAAATAAGGGAGTAAGGAAGAAAAAAGAGAAAGAAGAAAGAAAACTAATTTGAAGGTGATAGAGATTTTGAAAACTTTTTGTATAAATGATGATGACACTTGAGTTTAGGCTAAAAGTATGCACCCACTTTTGTTTGTGTGGACGGCAGTTTTTTGTTTTTGTTTTTGTTTTTTTGCCATTTAAAAATACTTCTAGGGGAAAAAAATGCAGGTGAAAATATTTTGTAAAGACAGAATGATCTTCCAACTAAAAGGCCCTTGATGCTTGGTGGCCCACACGGGAGTGTTTTCATTTAGATACACGTACGTTACCGGGCACTTTAGCTGAAACACAAATTTTTTTCTCCTTTGGCTGCATCTCAGATGAGGCTCTACTGGGATCCCCAACTTCAGTTCTGGCATGTGCTGAATAGAACTCTGCAGAGTTTAGCTAGTTTGAAAAATCGGCAATGAGGCCCATTTGACATTTTATGCATATCTTTCCTTTATCTCATTCTCCCCTCCCCAGCATCCCCACCCCCACCCCACTCCTTCAACTTTCCCTGAGCGTGCAGCCTAACTCCGGTTCAGGGGCTTTGCTTCTTAAAAAGCTGCCTTCCTTCCCAGCTTGGGCAACTCCACCCCTTCTTAACAGAGCAAAGTAGATCTGCACAATAATGAGCTCTGTAAGGCAGGCATGACATCATCATCAATGGGCCCAAGCTGTTTTGCACAACATTCACCTTTTATTGTTCTGATGACAGGCCTGGAATGTGGCGGTTAATTCCCTGGGGAGTAGGGGGCTCAGCAAGGGCTGCCGCTGTTGAGCAAACTTCAGTACCCCCTTATCAAAAACAAAAACAAAAACAAAGCCACTCTGCTTTCTAGTCAAGGTAAGGGAGTCAAGCTCTTGTTTGGATTTAAGCAATGTCAGTTACTTTCCATCACGCGGGTCTCATGGATGAATGGGCTTTCTCGACAGCAAGAGCGTTTCTAAGTGTTATTGCAAAGAGCATCTAGGAAGCTGGGCTTGGACACTGGTAGAGCCCTAACTAAGATGACAAGGGCTCTATAAGAGCAACCTTTCGGTTTGCAATTTTACTGAGGGTGGACGGTGACAACCCTTGAAAATCACCAGCTTCCTGTGACTTTCCCTAATGCCTCAGAGTCCATGATTGGAACTGGCCAAGATACACCTTGTGGGATGAGACGTGCTCCCGTTTTTCTGTGGAGGGGAAGAGTAATCTCATCCTACAGAAACCTTGGGGAGTTTGTGTGGGGACTGAAAGCTCTCTGATCTCCCTGCCACGGGTCCTAACTTGCCCCGAAGGCTTTTAACAGGCAGCCTTTCTACAGTTTGTCAATGTGTCTTCTAATCGATGACTTCTTGATGAGCAAAAAACAAATCCGAGGTAAATATTATTTTCGAAGTTTTGCTGCTCTTGTTGTTGTCGTTGTCGTGTGGATTTTCTGCAGATCTCTCTGCATGTGTGGAAGGCGTTTGTAAAAGTTGGCGGGGAAATCCGGGGCATAGCGATCCAGAGAAAGCTGTGTTTGTTCTGTGACACTCAGTGTGGGAACAAGAACGCAAGGGGGGGGGGTGTGTGTGTGCTGATTTCAAAATGGGAACAAGATTGAAGTTTGGACTATGTTAAACAATTGTGTACAAAGTTCAACTTTAGTAATTTTTCAGAATGCCAGAAAAAGCACTGTCTGAGTTCAACGGAGTGTACCAACATAAACAGGTTGTAGTTAGAGCTCAGGAGGGCTGGGGGGTGCTGTGAGTCTGTCACAAAAGGACTCCATTTGGTCAAAACCAGGTTATTCAGATTCCCAAGACTCGTTTTTGTATTAATCTGAAATCAGGGCAGGTGGTATGGTTTTCATTTGTGTAGATTTAATCACTGGAATGTTGAGTGTTGATGTTTTGTCCCTGTGTTTAAAGTGATGAAAATCTGGGGGTCACTACATTGATCTTAATTCCATGTGACTGGATGAACTTCTGTTTACTTGTAAAACCAAGTATCCTTTCCACAACAGAAGGGGGCTCACATTTCTATTTTTTAAGATTAATAACAGTCGATACAAAATTAAGTCTAGGATTTTGGAGTTTTGTTTATTGCTTTGACTTTATTTTTTGAATGAGCTTTAAGGTTGTTCCAAAACTGAGCAAAATAATTATTAAATAAATGTCAACATAATAATTAAAAAGAGATTTAGTGAGAGTTCACGTATACTTATATTTTAAAGCTTTTTAAAAAGACCTTTAAATAAAATAACAATAAATTCAACTAGTTTTAAAGAGCGAAGTTTACTTTTCTGAGTAAATAAATGCACAGAAATACTACGATAAATGATGTATAGACTTAAAGTAATTTGCTGCTTAATTCATGTCTATGTTATTTTAAACAAATCTTATTATTGAAAATCGATTTACCCGAGAGACAAGTTAAGTTCAATAGTATCTTCATGAAAAGCTTTACAATAAAAGACGTTTGATGTTTTTATATTGTGAGCTCCCACACCGTAGAAGCTTGCAGCTGTGGCTTTTGCCTGGTGTTTTATAAATGCACGTACGGAATGAAGTGAGGTGTCTGGAACCTGTGTGGATTGTCTCCAATTCTCCAACCTGTCTGAGTCATCTCAGAAAATCTCCATCATGCGACCAACCCCCGTCCCCTTTTTCTTAACAGAAAGTGCCTCCTTCTGGGCAGACCCTTTACTTACACATCTGCTGTGGTTACAGGGACATGCCTCTAATCTGCCCCTCCTCTCCCCTAGGGAATCCCTCCACTTACTTTCTGTGGCAGTGTGACAGCCTTTTCTAGACAGAGCATCTGATCATCAGGAGTGATGAACTTGGGCGACGTGTTTTTTAGGGATGGGATGTGGAAGTCCTCTTGGAGTTAGGGAGGGAAGATGAAGGGGCCACCTGGAAGGAAGAACCAAAGGTCACACAATAGAGGTGGCAGGCTTCTGTGGTTCGTGACTTTTTCTGTTCCTAGGGAAGATTCTAGGTAAATTTACTCACTTGGCTGACTCTTTATAAATGTCATCAAAAAGAAAGGATATCTGGTTTCTCTTGTTTTAAAAATATGTCATTTGAGACATGAACAGTCTGAGACAGTGTTTGAAAAGTACTTTGAACAATGGAGGAAATAGGAAGACACAATAAAAGGCATATTGTCATCCTCTCTGGGGAGAGGACACAGCGCTAAAACCTGAAGCTGAGGAAGAAGAGCCTAGAAGACTGGTGTCTTAGCTCAGGCTGCTATCACCAAGTACCACGGACTGTGGTTGATAGAACACAGGAACTGTTTCTCCCAGTTCTGGAGGCTGGAAGTGCGAGGGTGGGCACCAGTGTGGTTGGGTTCTGGTGGGAGTCTCTTCCCAGCTGCCAACTGCTGTCTTACCCTAGTGTCTCCACAGGTGAGAATGAGAAAGACCCCTCTGGGCCCTTTTTCTAAGGGCACTAATCCCTCTCCTGAGGGCTCCACCCTCATGACATAATCACCTCTCAAAGGCCCCACCTCCTAATACTATCATCGAAAGGGGACTAAGATTTTTTTTTTTTTTGAGCTGGAATCTCACTCTGTCGCCCAGACTGGAGTGCAGTGGCCGCTCCGGGCACCGCAGCCTCGACCCACTGAGCTCCGGCGATCCTTCCCCCTCAACCTTCCAAGTAGCCGGAATTACAGGTGCACGCTACCACGCCTGGCTAATTTTTTGATTTATTGTAGAGATGAGGTCTCGCCTGCCCAGGCAGGTCTCGAACACGCGGTCTCAGGCAATCCACTCACCTCAGCCTCCCAAGGCGCGGGATTACAGGCTGAGCCACCGAGCCTGGCTAGGGCTAAGATTTTAATTATTTAAGTTTTAGAGCCCAGAGAGGATATACCTCAATCCATTGCAGTTGTGCAGGTTGTAGCTTGCAGGGATGCTGGACCAGTTGAAGAATTGGAGCTGAAATCCGGTACACCCAGTAGGGGAGGGACTGGTCCCACAGAGAGGAAGGGGACCTCTATCTAGTCCTCACACATGTTCTATGAGGGCTGAAACAGAGCAGGGGAAGATACTAGCAACAACAGCTGCCAGAGCTCTAAGTTATGCACCCTCCATCTGCATCCTAAGTCTTGGGTGTCCCTCGCTAGTATATGTTTAAAACATGAGTGGCACTTTTTACGTATCCTTGTGATGTATATATATATATATATATATATATATATATATATATATATTTTATATATATATATTTTTTGAGTTGGAGTCTCCCTCTGTCACCCAGACTGGAGTGTGGTGGCCGCTCCTGGCCACCGCAGCCTCGACCTGCTGGGCTCCGGCCATCCTTCCACCTCAGCCTTCCAAGTAGCTGGAACTACAGGTGTGCGCTACCACGCTTGGCTAATTTTTGATTTATTGTAGAGATGAGGTCTCGCCAAGTTGCCCAGGTGGGTCTCGAACCCACGGGCTCAGGCAATCCACTCACCTCAGCCTCCCAAGTGCAGGATTACAGGCTGAGCCACCGAGCCCAGCTGATGTATATATTTTTATTCTTGGCACCTAATGCATTGGCAACGAGAAGAAGGTGTTCAGTCCATCTTTGTTGAATTAGTGAGTGAGTTAACGAATCATACTTATATTTCTGTATGACTCAGGGGAGCTTATACTAGAATGTGCAACCAGAGAGCTTCATCTCAGTGACTCTCAAATACGATCTCCTGATGGGCAGCAAATGGTCAGAAAACGCCCGCCATTTCCGTGGTTCACATGAGCCAGCCACTAATAGTTCTCTAGACTCTAATTTGTGTCATAACTAGGAACTATTTACTAGCAGTGTACAAAGTAGTTTTAAAAAATTGTAGAGTGTTTGTAAATTTAAATTAGCATGTTGCTAGCTTCTCTTGAAGACTAAATCCATGTTTGCCAGGGAGTCTGTCTGCCGCCCACGGTTGCAGACGCTTGCTGAGTAAGCACTCACCCGGTGGTAGCATATTCCAGCATCTTCGGGAAGAGTAACTTCCTGTCGGTCATAAATCTTTCATGCTTTCAGTTATTGCCATCTGTGCGTTTTGAAGGTACATGGCTACGGGTTACATATCACAACCAGTTTAGTTTGCTGCAAGTTACTGGGCTAACCCACGCCAGTCCATAGTGTATGTCCTTGGATATCTTCAAGGCACATCACCAGGATGCCTATTCCAGAGCAGAACTAGACATAAGTCCCTCACAGTCTGAGGAAGAGCAAAACTTCAGTTGAGGTCATTTGCCCGAGCTTGCCTTGTGTGTGTGTGCTGTTTGAATGACTTGCATTATACTCGCAAAGCAAATGTAATTAAATGACTAGATTTTTAAATTCATAGGATGTCATTTATAATATAAAATCATAAGTATAGCACAAGGTCTTCTCTTTGGGAATAAAATCAGTTCACAAAAGCTGCTAGCAACAAGTTGACTGCTGTATTTTCTTTTCTTTCAATTTTTGGTTTTTTTTCCACCGAGTTCTTTCTCAGAGTGGCAATGGGTGAGATAGGCCTCTTGTCCCATTACAGTGACTGAGGGTCAAAAAGTTTGATGTCAGGTACTCTAAAATCCTGCTGGTCTTTACAAGAGGGTAAGAGAAATAAGTGGATGAGGGCTTCTGTACATGCATCCCTACTACTAAGAAATACAAAGAAACAGAGCTGCCGCGTTTGTGTCCTGTGAGGAAGGATTGGCTATTCTGCTCACCATGAAAAATGATTCTCTGACACTTAGTGACCAGAGCCGGTACTGGGATGTAGCAAGGATGGCTTGGTGCAAAACATAAGTATGTGTCAAAAACATAGTCATCAAGATACACCATGCTCCAATGCACTATTTTAAAGTATCAAAATTGATACAAAATATTCATGCT